AAGAGTGCTGCAGATCAGCAAGGACATCAGCAGGCAAACCTTAGTTCTGCTCTCCTTATTTTAGGATTTGATGCTCTGAAAGAATGGGCCTTTTTCCTCTCAGATTTTTAAGGCCAGAACATGTATCAGTGGATAAATAGGAATTTGGACAATGATATAAACTGTCCATAGTCAACAGTTCTTTCTATTCAGACAGCTCAGCTTATGTTGTCTCACTGATGTCTGTCACCATTCTCCTTTGGAAGCAATTCTGTAGAATTTTGCAGGTTAGAAGCCCGTTTTGGACATGGTGGAATTTGACTTAGGAGAAACACCCTGTTCAGGTCATCGTTTATATATGTGACTGTAACTGACAGTATGTAAATGCAATCCTTGGATTGGATTATCATCCTGGGATCCGATTTAATGCAGTGCTACTGGTTTTGCAGCAACCATGACTGTAGATAGCATGTTGTCATAGATCACATCAGCTGGAATATATCGTTAGTTGGAAAATTGCTATTCCTTTTCAGATCCGTGGGTGTATATTAGAGGAGAACATACATATCCAGTACCTGCCAACTGTATGACGTGAATCAAAAGTTGATTAACTATGTTTTAAAGCTAAGAGAAAGAAAACACCAAAGGGAAAAGAAAGAATTAATTCTTTATACCACATCCTCTATAAAAAAATAATTTTCAAGGAAGTAAATCAGGCAGCATGATGCTATTTGGAGTTGTAGTCATCTGATTACCATGGGCAATTTGTTGAAACTGTGAGCTGTACTATAAATAATTTAATGATTCTCTGATCTGAAGGACCTTATTGCAAGAAAAACAAGGATCAAAACCAATCCAAAATTGCTTTATTATATTTTCTGAGGGCACAGCAACCCTCTACATAGTTTTTTGGTAATGGCATAAATAGCTTTTCATGTATTGTAATTGTGTGGTGTTATTTGAAAATCCTGAAAGCATGTTCTAAGATTAGATGGTACCCTGCAGTTTGGTATCCTGTTTTTCAGAGCAAATAATTAAAAAGGTGTTTCTCTTAATTTCTCCTTTATCTGCAGATTCTGGATAGCATGAAGCCATTGCGCCCTTATGAGCGCATTGACACTTTGAAACAGTTTCTGGAGCATGATGGACATGTTTTACGTTTTTACTGTGTGTGGGATGACCCAGAATCCATGTTTCACGACCCACGGGAACTTGTTCTGCACTATTATTTGTCTGATGATACTATTGACATAAAGGAAATTGTACCAGTAAACTCAGGCCGAGATGCAGTTCCACTTTTCCTCAGAAGAGATAAGCTTCCAAAGGTGAGGAATGAAAATTTCATCTTATTTCAAATTCTTCCACTAATTAAGAAATATTAAATGCCTTGTTTTGAAAATCCTGCATTAGGATCGTAATGATATTTAGAATGTTATCAGAGTATTAATCATAATTGCATGATTTAGCTTTTGCACACATACTCATATAATAACTTAATAAATGATGGAAAAAATAAGTTTAGGCTTGTCATGCTTAAATTAAAATGTGAGAGAATTTAGACAGAAAGATATCCTATGATTTCCTTTTTCCCATATTATTGTATTAAGGTAAATGTATTAATAAAGCTCTGCAGTAATGGAAGTCCAGGAAATTAATAGAAAAACTAATGTAAAGCTGAGGTGAATTCAGATTTGATCCATATGACTTATATTTGGAACCTTTGGAAAAGTCCAGTTTTAGTATTCCATAACACCACTTCTTTGCAGCAAGTCCAAAGTGATTTCTTAAAATTGAGTTCCTAGATTTGGGACCTTATGTAAAGCTAGTTAAAATTAATAGGAATCCATGAATAAGCTTTGTCAGGCATTAATCAGGTGCTTATTTGAGAAGGCTTTTCTCAGACAAATCTTCAAGCGGTTTGAGTCCTCTGTAACTTACTATGATTAGAAAATTAATGAGCTGGATACACTTCTGTATCACTCCAGATAGATCCTGATGATAGAATAACGTCAACCCACAGATGGAGTAAAATACTGGGTAATCTTTTCCCTTCTTTCCTTCTAATACTGGTAATCTATTTGTGATGCCGGAGATGTACATGAGATTTTATAGTAAAAACCTAACAGCAAAACATTGCACTTTCCTCACCTTGTGTATCCTGTGTTCTGAGGTGCTGATTTAGCAGTGACTGTAGGTTAACAAACCCCCTCTACCATTGAAGTGCATGTTGCAATTTTAAGGGCTGGCTTCTTCCTCTGAATTCAGTGGAAATTTTGAGAAGGACAGCAGAGGAGATCAGTCAAAAGTTGGGGTGTCAGGGAAGGTAGTATGACAAAATAACCCACTTTGCTTACCCTGCATCAGCAGTTTGTTCATAATTTTAAAGAAGGCAATGTGTTTGTGTATTAAGTTTGATATTACTGGGATAAATTACTGTTGTAATTTTGAAACTTAAAATAGAAACAAAAATACTAACAATTTTGCCAATAGAATCATGCTGACTTGAATCTCCTGTATTTGTGCAGTGGTTAGCACAGTCGGATCAATGCTGAGTGGTTCTTTTGCATGTTTTAATAATTTTTACCAATCAAAATAATAGCCTTTAGAGCAGATGTTGACAGGGATGTGCTGCTTTGGATGTGCTAACCTTTGCTTTCTGCTTGCTTCCAAGAAGAAGGAGACTTTACTCTTGGTTACACAGTAAGATTCTGAATGCTTCTTCTGGCATACATACTGTTTTTTGACGTATACACTGGCTTTTAGGTTCGGTAGCATAATCTTACCTAGAATTTACTAAAAATTCTCCCAAGAAAATACTACAATAGCAGTATGTCTCTTAAAAAACCTGCTAGTTCTAAGGTAACTGAGTTCTCTTTCTTCACCATTAACTTCTTAAGAGCCGGTCTCTTTCCTTGCAGTATGCTCCCGCTGGGCTATATCAGCCCGGCACAATCACCAGTCGCACTGTTCTCAATGTGTTTGGAAAGTTAGCAGGAAACAGCGGCCGTTACATTCTGGACAATCGTAAGGTCAGATATTATTGAATGCTTCCCACTGTTGAATGTCTTTATAGTAGCTGTTGTAATTTCTGTGGTCGTTATCCTCTACAACAAAGAGAGCTATTTATAAAATTGTGTTGCCACTGGAGAATAGCTCAAACTTCTGAGATTGACTATATGTAAATTCCATGTTCATGAAAGTGGGGTTAGTGAGGTGAAAAATACCTGCAAATGGTCTAGGAAGGTAATATTTTAAATCACATGCACTAAATGACCTAGATTTTAAGAAAGGTTGTGAGATTCTGAGATTTACAGAGCTGCTGTATAAATGTTCCCCCTTTTATTAGACAGGAGCAGTGCATCAGGAATTTTACAGAGACAGCGACCTGAAAATAGGGGCAATAATTAATGTTTGGGGAAGGAAGATAATACTCTGTGATTGTGATGAATTCACTAAAGAGTATTACAGGGCAAAGTATGGAATTGGTAAGTAGTGATAATTATCCTTTCCTTACGAGCATTTTGATACTTCTCAATTTGGCAGAGCTGTCTTCAAATTTTATTACTGACAAAACATGTTTATTAAAACCTTTAGCAATAACAATCAGTTGTAGGCTGTTAACAGCAAAGCATTAATTTTGCAGGTGATCCAGAAGGGCTTTTTTATATGTTACTGTATCAAAAACTAACACTTAATGTATATGTTCTGTTCCTAACTGCCTCTATTTTAAAACTAGAATGACAAAATGGTCATATGGATAGACTGTCATTTCTTCTTCTCTCCTTCCCCCTCCCATTCCAATAGCTGTGTTTGCAGTCAGAAAATAATAAAGAGCATATAGTGAGTGGGTAAGTAGAATGAGCTCAATTATTCCCCATTATACTATGTTTCATTTTATATGGATGTCAGAATGCTCACATAATAAGATTTTCTGATACGACAGTAGTAGTCTATCACATTATTGGTTTTTACAATGCAGTTTTGTGTATTCTGGACCATTAGAATATGGATCCTGTGAAGTTTCAGCACTGAATTCTGGAAACGTTTAGCAACTATGTCCATAATGGAAAAGCATTTTGGAAATTTATAACAATAGGAGCTTTCATTTATCTGTCTTTGAATTCCCTCAGTCAGACTTGCTAATGGTTTTATTAGGGACATCTTCCTTGCAAAAATGCCTTAGTTAATTTCTGGCAGTTTATTCACTCAGTAAATATAGCTACATGTCTGACTGTTCAGAGATGGTTGGAAGAATCCTACTATGGCCTTTCTCTGACATGGTGAAACAAAATACCTGAGTAGACTATTTCTTTCAGCTTGACTTGTGATCAGATAGAGTGTAGTGTTTGGATCAAAGCTTGTCTGCTGCATTGGGGGAACTAAATGATGTAGAGCTGCCATTAAAATGCTAAATTTCTTAATTGGCAAAATGTGTCTCATTAGGACTTTTTTAATAATAGCTTGGCATGTCTGTACCAAAATAAATGTTTTTTTATACTAGCCAGTATGTGAGGAAGCCATATTCAATAACTATAGCATTATCTATAATAATAGTGAGTCTAACTCCAGGGATGCAAAACAGGGGGTTCTTCCCTGAGAATTTCTTCAGACAAGACCGTTGCCGCTGTTTGGCAGCAATATCCTGTCTGAGCAAAATATGCTGGAACAGTGAATGTGGATTTCTTACTCACAGCAAGCAATAAATAAAATGCAGCTGACCATTCTGTATCAATCAAGCAATACAACCAAGTGCAGCACAAACACAAAGGCTCTTCCTCTCCTATAATGCCAGCTCAGTAATTACAGGTTATGTCTCTGGATGTTCAAGTTAGGTGGTTTGCAAGTTAGAAGAAGTCAGAAGATGCTGATGTGCAGAATTCTAGAAAATTGGGACCACAGGCGATCTAGTCTGTTCCCGTTGTTCTGAGGCAGGATAGTGTCTATACATAGATTGTTACTGACTGATGTTTGTATAGCCTTTTATAAGCATCCTGCAGTAAAGGAGATTTCTTTGCTTTCTGAGGTATCTTGTCCTAGCCTCATAGTTAGAAATGCTGCTTAATAGCTACTCAAGCTGGTTTGTAAACTGAGAGTGACTTTTTTGTCTTACCTTTGTTGCACATGGAGAACAACTGTTCAGTATCCTCTTTTTATAACAACTTTGTACATATTTGAACACTATTCCAATACACCATCTTACCACCCTACCCCCCTCCCAGGCTATTTGCTGCTAGGGGAAACCTTTCAGTCTTTCTCCATAGTCCATTCTTTTATATCTGTGATAATTTTTCTGGTTTTTCTCAGTGCTTTCTCCAGTTTCTCTGCCTGCTTAACACAAAACACACAAAGAAGTGCTCTAGCTGAGACCTTGGGAAAATGGGAAGTGTTTTGCACATACCCTTAAGGATACATGATGGCAGAGACTCTGGCTAACACAAAAAGAAATCCATCTTGATGAAGCCTATCTTGTCCACAGAAAACACATACTTTCTTAGAGCTAAGAGAGTCTCACAATTTGTTATGAAGACCTTTCCTGCTTTCCCCATCAGGATTAAAAAAAAGTAGGTGTGACTTTTTAACTAGAAGGGACTAGGAGTAGAATCAGGGTAGTTTTTGGCTTAGAAGCAGGTTTGGAGAGAGAAAGAATGAGGGTTAACCTTTTATTCTTAGCGAGTTACAAATTTTGTTTGTGTCTGGTGGACTTACAAGATACTCTCAGAGGGCTCAGTCCCACAAAGTGCCTGGCATTCTGCTCCCATCCAATTAAACACTGAAACGTGCTTAATTGCAGTTTGAGTCCAGGGAGACCATTTACTTGAGTAAGAGTAAGCAACTGGATAAATTAGTTCCTACATTAAGGCACAGCCTGTGCTCAGCACCTCACGGCATCAATCCAGCTGTTTGTTGTTACACCCCTTCAAATTATACTCTTCTGCCAAAGCCATTAAAGAGACCGACACTTACTTTTGATGCTGCAGTTTCAGCATAAGTTGCTTGCTGAAGGAATTTGCCCTTTAGGAGAATTAAGGGCAGTTTAGATTTCCCTTGAAGTGCATGATTATGATATCTGATATATTTCCAATGTTGGTTTTGCTTGTTTTACTCTTTATACTGTTTGTGAAAAGCAAAGGAGAGCTTTTCCATGGGTCAACAATAGCTAATGCCCTTCAGTAGGAAGCTAATGGCATTACTGTCATCTAGCAGTGCTGTGAATGCAAGAGAAAATGGCTTAATGTGTGATATTATCTGTCCAGACTTGCTAGTGCAGCCTCAGAGAAGGAGAAAAATATTCTATAACCATGTAGGTGTTGTGGTCATTCAGCTGAAAAGTGAAATATAACTGATGTGCAGTGGAGGGAAGCTGATACTCCACACTAAATACAGTACCTTAGGACAGAGTTGAGTATAAAGTGTAGAGTTGAGTATGAAGTGTTCTTTCTTAAATAACAGATTGTTCCTGAAGGAACAAAACCAGTAAAATCTGGTTTCCCACTAATTTTTATTCAATGTCCCGGCACCTCCCAAGCCTGTCTGTTATGCCTTTTTGCAGCACCCTGCGATCCCTCTCTTGTCCCAGCTCTCCTCGCCCTCCCACCCCCTCATTTCTCAGGCTCCCTCTCTGACCTGCTGCCCGGGCAGAGCAGCGTGCGGGGTGATCGGCTGGCCAGTACATGTGTGCTTTTGGCCAGGCAGCTGCTGCTGGATAACAGCTGACTTCTTGCTTTTCCCTCAGTGGGGGCATTAAAGCCTGCTGCCAATTTTCACTGGACTCGTCAGAGATCTGAGTCTCTCTGGCGTCTAACCTCTCCGCTGCATGTGGTGGAGACTGAGCAGCGGCTTCTAAATATACTTGTGCATTTACAGATGCCTTTTTTCCTCAGGTAACTGGTGTAATCATGAAGTAAGACTCTGTAAAAGGAGATTTTCTTTGTATCAGAATAAGCACTGTCATGTTTTATCTGTATGGGCGGTTCTGTGAGCACTAGGTTTTCTTTAATCCTGCGTGTAAAAGTTGTGAAGATGGTGGTATTACCTTCTTTCTTTACTTCCTACCTAAATTGTGAAACAGACTCTCACAGAAACCAGGTCTCAGCTGTTTGTTATACATCTCCTCTTATGTACAGAGAACATCATATTAACAATATCATCCCTCCAGGTTATCGCCACCTCTTATATTGTCCAAGGCTATTACGATTTCTCTCTCCTGTTCTTGGCTGTAATGCTTAGAGGTGTCTGTCCTCTTCCTCTGAAGGTAGAATTTCTTGCCTGCTTGCTGTATGTGTACTGATATTCAGCATGGTTATCACTCTAATCCAAAATATGTAGCACTTGACTCTTCCTTGAAATATGGTTTTATCCAACACATGAGGGGTTTCCTACAGTTCTTCGACTGAGGGCAGAAGATAAACTGACAACGTATACCGAAATCTTACGGCATATATTGAAATGGAAAGCAGACATGCTCATTCAAGCTTGTTTAATGCTGCCTCTGTGGCAACAAATTCCTCTTGAAGAATTTAGTTTTTTCTTACTAAGGCAGCTATGCTACTTCTAATTGTTCATATGCTAAAAATGTGGCCGGAGCTGTTTTGTTTCTTGCTGTTCCCAGTGCTTGTTCAACTCTCACTCAGGTTTTGATGTCATGTACTAGTATGTGGTACAGGTTTGATTGATACACTAGGTGAAATAAACCCCCTAGTGCCAGCCCATCTCCTGCTGGGCATCAGTTGATGCAATCACAAGGGTTGAAACTGTCCAGAGGGGAAATATCTCTGCTGTGGACAGGAACCAAAGCGCTGAATTTCTCTTTGGAGTTCGTTTACTCCAAGCTTGGGCTGTGAGGGATTTAACGTCCTCTCTGGGGCTAATGCAATATCCCTCTTAATTTGTAGTTTCCTTCTAGTTTATAAGTCTAATTTTCATCCACCTGCGCTGAAGCACATAGAAAGGGAAATGCTTCAGCAATTTCCTAATGAATACCTCGTGCGTGTTAATGTGCATACCCTGTCACCTGCCTGCAAACGCATTAGCTCGTCTTTCGAGCTCATCCGTTCCGCTGAACGCCCTGGCTTCCCCAGCGCTTTTGGCAGGAAGTGTGGTGGTTGCGACCGTGCAAAGAGAAGGGGTTCGCTGCTGCTAAAATACACTGTTACAAACGTCCGGCCTTCGAGAGAGAAAATATTGGTGCAGATGAATTATTGCATAATTAGAAAAGTTAATGTTAAGCTTTATAAACAGCATGAAGACCGGCGCCCGGCGGGGAGAGG